CAGCACCTCTGAATTTTAAGCAACTCACGGTCTGTGACTCTGGGGGTTTTTTAAAGACGCGGCTCCTGCTCAGGGTCTGGTTGGGGCCAGTTTTCCTGTAACAAAGCGCGTTAGTAACTTTGGATTGCTGCAAGAAACAACCGTCATACTACTGTCTTCGGTTTGGTTGGCTGAGAAGTAGATCCTGGGACAAACATTTGAGCCAAAAATAGTTCATTTGAGAGCGCACCTTAGGAAGCACAGGTGGGAAGATGGCGAAGTGAGAGGCAGGAAGGGTTGTGCACACCTGGGAGGCATCAGGCTGGGCCTAAGCCCAATGATCAAAGGAGTCACTATCTCCATGGGAGATCACCAGGGGACTTTGTGTGGGGCCAGCTTTACCAGAAGAATAAGTGAGTGGTGGTCCTTTATGGCATATGGGATTACATATAAAATTATATAGAGATTATATATAAGCCTCTTAATTTGTTTTTAACACAAGGAAAAAAAAACTGAATCTAAGTAACAAAATAAACTGAAGAACAGAGCAGATCCAGAGACATGGACATATGGAACAGAATGCGGAACCTTGGAGGGAAGACTGGGAAGGAGGTAATCAAACAAAGACTTTGTATGGATAGTTGCAGAACCCATGGACACAGACAATAGGGGTGAAGAGCTGGGGCAGGGGTGGGGGCAAGCTGGAGGGCATCAGTGGGAGGAAGGGGGGTACATATTATACTTTGAAAATAAAGAATTATTTTTTTAAATAGAAAGAAGCTTCTTAAAAGAAAGCTTCCAAAGATGGCAGCATAGGCAAATGCCTGCACTTGCCACCTCCCACAACCACATCAAAATTTTTATTTATGTCAAGCAGTTTTTTCAACAAAGTCTGTTAAGTACTACTAACCCTTAAGAAATTTTTTCAATGCTTGCCTTTATTCTTGAGTGACATCTTGGCTGGAAATAATACCCTTACTTCGCACTTTCCTTCCTTCAGAGCTACTTTGCAGCCTTTTCTTTCCTATGTCACAGTGTTGAATGTTGCCATGAAGTAATCCGATGTCAGCCTGAAGTTTCACCTTTGTAAATGACTCACTCTCAGCCTAGAAGTTTCAATTTTTTTTTCTTTTATTTTGGAAATATTGCTGTTGAGCATTTTGTATCCATTTTTCTAGAATATATGAGGGGATTTTTTTTTAATATTCACTTTTTTTCCTTTCACTCTCTTGATTTTCTTTTCTTATTTCTGTAAGATGAGCCTATTACTTCTGAGTGAAATTTCTTCCCTATTTCACCTATTTCTTCCCAAAAGCCATTCCCATTACACTGTAGCCAGAAGACAAATGACAAAGTCACCCTCTCATTCATCTCTCTCGACAACTTCGTCAAGATTCTGTGGACTTACCTTCTGAGGAGGAGAAGAAAGAGAAGTGGCTGCCTGCTCTGTGGTCATCTCCCATTTCATTTCCTCTGGAGTTTCCTGTTTTTCCTTTGCACTCACTTTTCTTAGGTAATGGGTTGAATCTTTTCTATTGATAATTATTTGGGGATGGGGGAAGGGCTCTTTAATACTTTTGTTACCTCTTTTACACACACAGATATTCTGTAAGGCAGTTTTATTCCTCCATCTAAATATAGATATTCCTATAGTTTATAATCTTAAGCTCCCCTGAAAATTCATATACTCACAAACTTCAAGATCAGTGATTCATGGCTTTTTGTGTCCAGTAGTACTCACTCCTCACCACCTAGGATCTACAGGGTGGGACAACAGTTGGTTTACAGTTGTGAATATATGAGACAGTTTATTCTTGTATTATTATTCATTAATATATTATTTTTCATACAAACAACTGTAAACCTCCTTTTGTCACACCCTATACTATTCTCTCTCTGACTCAATGTGACTTCATCTGCAACAAGAGAGTAAGATCTTCCTTGCTGCATTATTGTGAGATAGTAGCCATGAGACAAATTAGGTCATGTGTCTATAATAATAAAAGTGTAATATGCTAATTAGACTGGATAGCCGAACAACCTTCTGGGTGTCCTTCTGATGTCCTTCTGGACGACCTTTCACATGAAGCTGGGGCTGCAAGGGCTGAGCCCCTTGTATGAATTTCATGCATCGGGCCTCTAGTATAATAGTAACATATTTCAGAAAACATCTTCACCCTTGAGAGAGAGGTTATAGTAGCTTCCACTTTCTCCTTACATGAACTGAGTCAGGCACTCAAGTATTTATTCTTTACTGTTTGGGTAACATAATGGCAAAACTAGTTACCAAATTTTTCAGATTTCATCTTCTACTGCATATTACTAGAATAGCTATTACAGTGGATAAATTAAAAATTCATTCTTTGTTGTGTTATTTCTGCATAGAGACCTAAAATGTTCAAAATACCCGAATGACATATAGTCAGTGATTTTTTTTTAAATGGTTGATTGATTCACTTGTAACCTGAAATCTCACCAAATGGGATGACTAAGTAGCTTAAAACAACAACAACAACAACAACACACAACTAAAGCCCAGAAAGCAGTAAGTTGCTTTCTATATATTTACTATACTGTTCACATGATTACAGAAAAGCAAAGTAAGAGAAAAGATTTCTTCCTTCAGTTCTACCCAGCTGCATGGAAAGTGAAAAGTGAACAGCAACACACAGCAGAGGTCATAGGTGCTTTACCATGTAAATCAGGAAGATAAAGAACATTAAATAAGTGTCACCTCTAATTTTTAAAACCAAAGGTTGCATGCTGGCTTATGATAATAATCAGGGGAAACCCATCTTAATCCTATGTCAAGTGACATTCTGCCGAGCCCTTCAGAATCCGGTAACTTTTATACTGAGATACAAGTAAAACTTTAAAATATGTATTTCTTTGTATGACTGAGCTCCTTAAGATTCTGCCAATATGAACCTACCTCTGGAGTCCAGGGGTTGCTTAACTTTCTTTTGCGAAGGACTTACCCAGATCTCTGTTTCTTGCTGGAGACTTTCCATTTCAGAAAGAACATGAAAGACACTCCACTTTGCAGATATGCTTATCTTTACTTTCTGAGATCAAAAGGCCACTTCTTAGCAAATGTCCTTTTCTGTTTAAGCCCCAGGAAGCATCGTACTCTCATGCTCCTCAGACAGTTATAGTGAAGGCCATTGAAGAAGCACTTTTCCAGGTCATGATATTTAGGAACTTGGAAAACAGTGCTGGGACACCTCATGGTACCATATGAATGCAAGACCCATGTGCAGAATGAACCATAACAGTAGGACATAGGAAACTTTTCTTTAAAATGACAACATATTTGAAAGTTGGGTGTATTTTATTTACAAGTAACATTTAAATACAGAGGTTAATCATATGGTTCCAAATATCCCCAAAATATTAGCAAAGACACACCAGAAAGGAAATATAGCATGTTTATGTGTTTCTGTCTTATGACAGCAAGATCCAAGGCTGGTTATATCCAGAAGGCTTAGTAGACATAGTGCCAGATAACTTGCAAACTACAAGCATTGGTTTTATACTTTATTTATAAATACTCCTAAATAATTGTCCTTAATACCTTCATTCCTACTACCTATCTCTACTGCAATTCTATCACATCAATGATATGCCTTTAGCTCAACTTAAACTCATTGATTGTCATGAGTTCTGTTGAAAAAAGTTTATGAATAAACCATATTTAAATTGTAACCCCTCTGCTTTCTCCTGCAGCCGTTCTCCTGTGATTTTATTACAAGAGTGCAATGTGTGAGACAGTCTAGCAGAGCTTCTAAGAGATTGCTGTCATTCATGTACACTATCAATAGTATACATTTTGGAAAATGTTACATTGGAATTTTATAAATATATCTTCATTTCAGTCATACTTCATATGTAAATACTTGGCTTTAAAAAATCCTGCTATCAAATATAGTCATTTGATACTCTGAAACCAAAAGTTTTTTTTACCCAGGTAAAATTCTTCCTCTTTTCCCAAGAAATAGGATTCTAAAACTCCAGGAAGATCTGAATTATCCATATGGGGATGACGCAGCAGTCATACTGTTGCAATAGAGCTTTATTCATATACACAGGTGTTATTCATTCCTGATATGTATGGTTTTCATTATCTCAAGAAAATGATTCTAATTCATGGATGGGAAAGGGATGTTCTAGTGCAAATGCATAGCCAAATGGCAATGCCTCATTGATAGGACTCAGAGGTCCTTTCAAGAGCACTGCACCCTGGAGTCAGACCCTAGTGTATCTCCAGGATGAAATCTACAATTCTAGTTGCTATTCATGGGGCTACTAAAGAACTGAGTCAAGGACAACTTATGTATATAGATGTAATTGTCTTGTTTTAATTTTGAAATGAAAAGAAATCCAAAGGATTTCTGAGAGTAAACACCAACTCTCAAAGAACTGAAACCAAAAGACTGAGATCTTAAAAGTTTACCTGCTCCTTTTATTATATATATATATATATATATATATATATATATATATATATATATGTTCATAAGAACCTGAGGGACTCAGTCTTAGAATTTGCCTTTGCTCAATTTGACTTTTAGTTCCATATAGAAGATTGAAACTCCAATCTTTCCCCTTTCCAGCAAGTCTTTTAAAACTATCATGAACAGAAATTATTCAATATTACAGCAAAAAAAAAAAAAAAAAAAAAAAGGACTACTGGTTAAATTCACAGAAAGAATGTATAAAAGGCAGAAATCAATAGACAGAATTATGTTTTTAAAAACAAATTGTGCTACAAAACTACTTTTTTGTAATACAATGTCAGGTTTGGCCCCACAACGTTTCAGAGGCACTGCATTAACATAAACAGAATCATTTAACGCACTTTTTCAAAGCAGCGCTTCTCAGCCAGGGCTAGTATGAATTCATTCTGCCGCTGGGTGCCAATGGCACTTTTGGTTTGCTTTACTGGCAACATTTTGGCAACGCATCCTATACTAAGAGAAAGGCCGAAAGACAAGCATATGACAAGAGTCAAATCCACCATGTTACTTCTTTTCGTGCTTCTTGGTTAACTGCCCTACTCCCAGCTGGAAGCTGCCCCGGTTGTCATTGGCTCTCTCTTCCCTCTGCCGACTCTCCTGGGAAACTTGTCGCACAGCCTGCAGGATGGCATTCTGCACAATCTGTTTGCTGGCATTCTGCAGCCTCACCTCTTCAGGCTCGTTTCCAGGTTTCTCGCCTAGACAGAAATAGGGAAGGGAGGTGAAACAACAAAACCAATTTCAGGAACCGTAACAAGAAAGGGGCAGGTAGAAAAGGTGAAAGGGAAGGGGAGACTATAAGAACATATGAGGGTGGCCCCGTTAACTGAGAGGAGCTTTCTGTAGCACATACCCCTCTTGCCTCCCTTTCTCCCTTTCCAATAGAATCTGCATTTGTTTGCCCCAGCAATGCGCCCGATTTATGTTCTCATCATACCAGAATCCTCTGCTGCTAGCAGGGTAATGAGACATAGTCTTAGCCAGGGAAACCCCTGGGAGAGATTTTGGAAAGCAAGAGGCTCATAGCCCCTTTGGTCTTTGGCACTTCCTCTGGATGCAGACACAATGCTTGTCTGTGCTGCAACCATCTGACAATGAGCATGGAGAGGAAAGCCAACATTCTGGGTACAGTTGGGAGACAAAAGGAGCCAGTTTTGAAGGCATCATTGAGCGTCTGCACCAGCCCTGGACCATGTACTTTTGGATGTGTCTATGTGTGAGATAAATAAACCCCTTTTTGTTTAGTCCGCCACTAGTCGGGTTTTATGTTGCTAGCACCCAAAAATATGCCTAATAGATATGAGCTCACTGGGGCTGAAAAATAGCTTGTGACTGAATTCATATTAAACGTAACCCTTGCTCCTGCAATAGCATCCCAAAGAATGAAGCTACTCATTCATTAGAACCTGTTCTCCATGATCTAGAACAAGGGTAGGCAAACTTTTTCTATAGATGACCAGATAGGGAATATTTTGCAGAGGTCGTATGGCTGTTGGCCATACGACCTCTGTAAAAACCATTCCACTCTTCTCTTGTATCATGAGATCAGCTTTAGACACTACATCAGTGAATGCCTATGGCTTTGTTCCAGTAATCCTTTATTTACAAAAAAAATTTAAAAAAACTACATTGCAGATTTGGCCCAGGGGCCAAGTGGGAATTTTCTAATTAGAAAGGCAAGGCAATATACCCAACATTGACTCCTCCCCTTCTTCCTTAGTTAAAAACAAATCAAAACCTTAATTTTATTTGGCCAGCTATATAACTAGGTACAGGGAAGTTCTAACCAATGGGTGGGAGTTTGTCTAATAAAAATTCTGTAAAAGAGCTTTAAAAGGGAAGAGGCAGGTAAAGGCCCTTTACCCTCTCCCTTCCTGCTGCCTGCAGCTCAGACACATGTTTGTCTTTACAGGGACTCTGGCTGATCATGAGGGAACCTTTAAAATAGAAGGCATTTTCATAGATTTGGAAGGAAAAAGTTAGAATGGACCTAAGATTCTAATGACCATATTAGAACATATTAGTCCTTAACTGCTCACCTTTAGGCCTCTTTCATATTAGAATACACACACACACACACACACACACTATCCAATAAAAGAGTAATATGCAAATTAACCATCACTCTGCTATACCCACAAGCCACTCACCTACCAGCCAATCAGGAGCAAGTATGCAAATTAACCCAACCAAGATGTCTGCAACCACAGAGCAAGCAGGAGGCTTAGGTTTTTCCTGGTAATGAAAGAAGCCAAGCTTTCAGCACATCCTGGCCAGCCTAGGCCTCCACTCAAGGCTACAAATATTCAATTATTTATAGAAGATAAATAAATCCCAACAAAAATGGCAGCAGCCATGGAGTGGAGAGAGCAGGAGGCTTGAGTTGTCCCAGGCAATGGAGGAAGCCAAGCTTCCTCCACTCTAGGCTACAAAGTTTCAATTATAGAAGATAAATAAATCCCAGATACCAGGGCCTCCACTTAGGTCGCTGAGGGGCGTGGTCAGCCTGCAAACCACCACAGGCCCCTCACCTAGGCTGTCCCATGCCCCAAGGAAACCCCCACCCTTATCCAAGACACCCATCAGGGCAAACCATGCATCAGGTTTGCTGGCCCCCACCCATGCATCAGGCCTCTATCCTATCTAATAAAAGAGTAATATGCAAATTGACCATCACTCCAACTCACAAGAAGGCTGCCCCATGTGGTCAAAGATGGCTGCCCCCATGTGGACACAAGATTGCCAGCAGGGGAGGGCAGTTGGGAGGGACCAGGCCTGCAAGGGAGGACAGTTGTGGGCAATCAGGCCAGGAGGGGAGGGCAGTTGGGGTGACTGGGTCTGCATGGAAGAGCAGTTGGGGGGGAACCCAGGCCTGTAGGAAAGAGTGAGGGGGAAAGGAGGGGGCGGGCCTTCAGGGGAGGGCAGTTAAGGGGTTAGGGGTGACCAGGCCTGCAGGAGAGGGCAGTTAGGGGTGACCAACCTTGCAAGGGAGGACATTTAGAGGCAAACAGGCTGGCAGGTGAGTAGTTAGGCATCAATCAGGCTGGCAGGAGAGTAGTTAGTGGGTGATCAGGCTGGCAGGCAGGTGAACAGTTGGGAGCCAGCAATCCTGGATTGTGAGAGGGATGTCTGACTGCCTGTTTAGGCCTGATCCTAAATGGGCAGTCGGACATCCTTTGAGGGGTCCCAGATTAAAGAGGGTGCAGACTGGGCTGAGGGACACACACCCCGTGCACAAAGATTGTGCACTGGGCCTCTAGTATGTGTGTGTGTGCGTGTGTGTGTGTATAAATTAAGGCAGTGTTATTTTGGATTTTATTTTACTATGCATCAAACTTATTACTAATTCATATATAGCAGAATGATCACGAAGCTAACATTTGACTAAAATGCAATCGTGAAAGTTTTAAAGCCCACCTGTTTATATTTATAGTGACAAATAAAATGGGCATCATTCCTTATTCAAATTCATCTTTTCAGATGTTCCCTCTATTTAAATGCTCTGCTACCATGCAAATGTATTTTAAATTGGCAAAGGGTGGATTTTGCCAGGATTGATTCATGAACAACAGAATTTATGCACCCATAAGAAAAACATCGCATAAGAGAAGATTGAGTCATTCTAGAAGACCAGACAGTGGTTATCCCTTTAGACATATAATTGTCATTTATTCAGCATTTATATCACTAACACCATCTTCTGAGGGATTTAAGACTAATAAACGAGGCAAGATGAGTCTATCCCAAGCTAAAAAACAGTACTCATCCTCCACCCTTAAAAAAAAAAAAAGAAAAAAGAAAAAAAAAAAAAACAGGATAAAATCAGCAATCTACACCAAACCTAGCAAAGGAATCCAGAGCTACAATATATAACAGATTAAAACTGTAAAAGCAGCAGAGAAGAATTCTTTAAATATTCTCTGTAGAAAAAGAATGAAGAGTAATATTAAGAGACATAAGGGCTCAGCAATTAAGAATGTGCATTTTAAAGCAGTTCAGAGTTGAGTTTAGAGAGAAAGGGACAGGGAGAAAGATGGAAACATCAATGATAAGAATCATTGATTGGCTGCCTCCTACATGCCCCATACTGGGGATTGAACCCACAACTCCAGCATGTACCCCTCCTGGTTCATAGGTCAACACTCAACAACTGAGCAACACTGGCTGAGCAAGAGTTCAAGTTCTTTCTGTCACTTTTAGCCATGTGATCTTGAGCAAGTCACCTCGCTCTCTAAGCCTGTTTGCACATCAGTAAGAAGGGCAAGTAGTGCCTAGTAAGATGGTTGCTAGAGAATTAAGTGACATAACTGTTCAGCACTTAGCGTAGCTCCTGAGCACTTGGTATGCACCACTGTGTATTGGTTGGGATACAGAATAGGCTTTTATAACAAAGACACAGAACTAAAGCAGCTCACTCAAGGGAGAGATGTTTATTGCTCCCTGCACAACAGCTCAGGGCTGCCCCAGTGTGTAGGTGCCTGTGCTCCACCGGGTTATCTAAGGGCTCAACTCTCTTCCATCTTCCTGCTCAGCCTTTTCCTACTCTCCTCGCCTCAGCTGCGTGAGTAGAGTTGGTTAACTAATATGCTGTTTGGGGCTAGAAGGGAGCCAAAGAGAAAATGGAGGGCAAGCAATTTCCTTCTAAAGAATTGTCATAGAAGTTGCAAGCATCACTCTGTTCATTTGCTACTGTGGGAAACTGAGTCATGGGGTGGTCACATTTAGCCACATGGGAGGCTAGCCACAGACTGAAATGCCTGTGGCTCAGTGTGGGCCCATCAGCTGGGGCCTGAGAGGCTGGATCAAGAGGTAAGAGCACAGCCACTTAGGAGGAGGAAACCACCCGGCCCCTGTCTTGAGAAGGCACTGTGGGCAGACCACGCATTGTCAGGACTGACTTTGTCCACTGTAAGAGCTGACTGGTGCCCCTATGGCATTCATTCGAAAGAAAAGGGTATCTGAGAACGCCCTGGTGGAGACCCTTAATGTAAGTCTGGTGTGCAAAAGTGCATTCCAGCTGACAGAAGGTAGAGCCAGCCACAAAATCCTGGTTTTGCCATTTACTTACATGCACTACATTTATTTGAAATTATTAATAAATCTAGGCCAATTGCCTGGTTTTAAATGGTGCATATGTCCTCAGCCTAATTAGCATTTACAAGATCATTTTGGTATTTCACGAAAGATGATGAATTGATGTAATTAGCTTTAAACTCTAAATGCCCAATATAAATGCACTGAAGTCAAGATTGTGAAGTAACTAAATTTGCCTTCTGTGTATTCCCACCTCAAATCAGTACCTTCTTTCTTCCTCCCAACACCACACACAAGCAGGCACCCCTGGGTCATGCTTCCCTGTGACACACAGCCCATACATGAAGCCAGCCTTCCACAGACAGACTCCCCTGAGCTCCAGGCCCTCTCCCCACCCTTCCCAGCCTGCTGTGCCAGGTGCCATCCTCACCAGCCAGCGGAAAGGGTCTGAGGAACTCAACTGCAATGTGGTTAATAATTGGTCTTAATTCCTTATTTATATCATTAAAATTGTGCTTCTACCGACCATAGGAAGATCTTCCTGATATTTACATTGTTTCCCCCTAAGAATCTAAGTGCCACTTGCCTCTATTATGTTAATCCTATTACATTCCAGTGAGGTGGGTTTTAGAAAAGGTTAGCATTCCCACTGTGAGGCAGAATC